GGTTCATCGTCTGACTCCTCGAATTGATCTAGGGCTGTTGCTAGATCGATAGCATCTGCGCCAAGTGTTTGACCCTCGTCGTCTTGGGAATCGTCCTCTGAGTCGTCGTCCTTTTGAGTGTTAGACTGCTATCAGCTGTTCGAAAGCAGAGCACACTTACCTCGCGCGGTGTTGTTTTGCTGCCGCGGAACGTGTAACCCTCGAACTTGTCTTCATCACTGTCGCCAAACGCATCATCACTCTCAATCTCCGAGTCCTCGTCATCCTCTCTCAGACCTCCCAGTCGCCATTCATTTCCTTCACTATCGCTTCCATCATCGGCATTGTCGTTTGTTGGCCGGCTGGGCCTCTTAACCTTCTTCCTCTGTGGCTCCTCCTCTTCCTCGTCCTCATCATCCTCTTCTTCGTCGCGACCATGCTTTCGCTCAATTTCGGCGTCTAATTCTCGGGCTCTAGGCGTTCGCTTCTGTCTCGGCGCAAAGTTCTCCTGTGCGATACCAAATGCATCAAGCGCATTCTTCTGTGATCTCGCCTTGGACTTTTTGTTGCCGGCCTTGGCTTTGGGGGCTGCAACGAGGGGTCGTCCGTGAGCCTGTCGTCCGCCCATTGTAATTATCAAGTACTGATATCCAATTTATCGAGTTATGGACGATGCGCGGACCGGCGTGAGATGGTTAAATGGCGTCGACACAGCTTTCAGAGTAGCACTTTTTTCCAACTTTTCTGCCGTGTAAAAAAGTTTGGCGGTGAGATGACCCTTGGCGGGGCACTATCCGTACCCATGCGGGTAATGGAGTGTAAATGGTGTGTGAGATAAGCCTATCATAGAGGTTGTAAATTGCTGATTCTAGTGGGGTCGATCCCACTGAAGGCCACAGGGGCCTTCCCACTACGGACCAGGTCAAGCACCGAATACCGAGTCACATCGGATGTCGAATTTATGGCCAAGGTCTCGTATGATCTATAAGTGAGCCACTTCTTCTTCGTCTTCCAATTCGATTCCTGTCTTTCCTCCTCGTTCAACCTCTGAACATTGGCTTTGATAATGGCGTCTTCCTTTGCCCCCGGGCTCCGGAGGTTACTATTCCAGGCTTCGGCCACAGCGTCTGGACCTTCAAAGTTCTTCATCTGCAACCAATGTCTTCGAAGTGCTCCCAGGAGCATGCCCTCACGCGTTCTCAACGCTATCCGATCTCGATCCTATGCCGATTCCGCTATCAACAAGCCAATTGGAACTATCGCCGAGCAGGTGTCAGCCCGTGCATCTCCCTCTGTCTCTCAAGCTACCAAGAAAGCATGGCCTGATTCCAATCCAAAGGGTGTGGGCTACTGGCTCCTCGGCAGCGCTGTTAGTGTTTTTGGTATTGTCGTTTTTGGTGGCCTAACACGTTTGACCGAGTCTGGGTATGCTTTCCTGCGTCCTGTTGCGAACAATTGAATCGCCAGCTAACGTTAAAACAGCCTGAGTATCACGGAATGGAGACCTGTCACCGGCTCGCTTCCTCCCATGTCCAAAGAAGACTGGGAGTCCGAGTTCGAAAAATACCGTGCATCGCCCGAGTTCAAGCTTCTCAACCCTCATATGGACCTCGAAGAATTCAAGAAGATCTACTTTATGGAATGGTTTCACCGTGTCTGGGGTCGCTTCATTGGCCTGACCTTTGTCTTTCCTACTGCCTACCTCGTCGCCCGTCGCAAAGTTACACCAAAAATGGCATTGAACCTTGCTGGAATCTCTGCGTTGATCGGTTTCCAGGGAATTATCGGCTGGTGGATGGTCAAGTCTGGTCTCAAGGATGATCTGTTTGCTCCTGGCTCTCATCCTCGAGTCTCCCAGTACCGTCTTACTACTCACCTTGCCACCGCCTTTGTCTGCTACTCCTGGATGCTTCTCTCTGGCTTGACTGTTCTCCGAACTCGTCGCTGGCTTGCGAACCCCGAAGCAGCCATGAAACAGATCGCTGCTATGAGTCAGCCCGGTCTTCGCACTATGCGCCGGGTCGTTTTCGCCCTTGCTACTCTGACCTTCATTACTGCCATGTCTGGCGGTCTTGTTGCCGGTCTCGATGCTGGTCTGATCTACAACGAATTCCCTAAGATGGGTCTTGGTCTCTTTCCTCCTAAGCAGGAGCTCTGGGACAAGTTCTACTCGCGCAAGGAGGATCAGTCTGATCTCTGGTGGCGCAACATGCTCGAGAACCCCAGCACTGTTCAGATGAACCACCGAATTCTTGCTGTGACTACCTTCTGCTCTATCCTCTCGCTCTTCATCTATGCGCGCACGAGACGTGTTAAGGCTATCCTCCCCGCCAACATCAAGAAGGGCGCCGATGGCCTTTTCCACGTTGTATCTCTTCAGGTTGCCCTCGGCATCAGCACTCTCATTTACATGGTGCCGATTTCCCTTGCCGCAGCTCATCAGGCGGGCGCTCTTGGTGTGCTGACCATGGCACTGGTGTTGGCTCACAGACTCCATATTCCCAAGCCCACTCTTCGTCTCCTTGAGCAGCGATTGAAGCAGGCTGCTGCCAAATAAACGATTTGGCGACATTGTAAAATGCCGAAGAACAGCATGTATATTACTCTTGTACAATATGGTACCCAATAGCATCAATAGAATAACGAAAGAGAAAGCTGGTAAGCTGGTCAAACGACACATATAATGAACATCTTGGACACACTCGACTCTTGAAAGGATTCTCAGCAGAGCTTATACAAGCGTTTTATTTTCTTTCTATTTCCATCAGACTGGAAGTCCGCGATTCTTATGTCGTTGTCACAGCGTAAAATCATGCATTCCAACTTATCACTTAACACAGTAAATCCCATTTTCCCATTTTACTTGTGAGCTACACAACCAAGTTAGTAATTTATCCTAGGCTGAGGGAGTGGTCAGGCTTACCAATGCCCTCCTCAGGCATGGGCTCAATGCCAACAACCTCAGCGGCAAGCTTCTTCTGCTCCAGCTTATCATCCTTCATGAAGGGGAAAGCAAGAACCTCACGAATGGTGTAGTTGTCAGTCAAGAACATGACCATTCGGTCAATACCCATACCCCAACCACCAGTAGGAGGCAGACCATATTCAAGTGAGGTACAGAAGTTCTCGTCAATGAGCTGAGCCTCGTCATCACCCTGGTCCTTCTGGCGAGCTTGCTCCTCAAAACGCAGACGCTGATCAAAGGGATCGTTCAACTCAGTGTAGGCGTTGGCGATCTCCTTCTTGCAAACGAAAGCCTCGAAACGCTCGCACAGGCCGGGAATCTCACGGTGATACTTGGCGAGAGGGCTCATGACTTGAGGGTGACCAGTGATGAAAGAGGGGTTGACACACTTTTCCTCGATGAACTCACCGACCAGCTTGTCAATCATGCGGGCGTTGGTGAGAGGAGGTGTGCACTCTAGGTTCATCTTCTTGAGGATCTTCTTGAGGAACTCGTTGGTCTCTTGTGTGTGGAGCTGGTCACCAGGAGGGAACTTCTCTCCGGTGGCCTCCTCCAGAGTGGGAATCATTTCATATCGAGGCCAGGGCTTTTCCCAGTTGACCTCGTATTTCTCACCAGTCTGGGTGTGGAAGGTGGTCTTGTAGCCACCGGTAAGGTACTTGACAAGGCCAGAAACCATGTCCTCGGTGATGTCCATCAGATCGTTGACATCAGCGTAGGCCTGATAGAACTCAATGGTGGTGAATTCAGGGTTATGAGTGAGATCAGCACCCTCGTTTCGGAACTGACGTCCAATCTCGTACACGCGGTTAAGGCCACCAACAACGAGCATCTTGAGGTATAGCTCAGGAGCGACACGCATGAACATCTGCATGTCGTACTCGTTATGGTGAGTGGTGAAGGGCTTAGCAGTGGCACCGCCAGCAATCTGGTTCATCATGGGAGTCTCAACCTCGACGAAGTCACGCTCGTCAAAGTATCGGCGGATCCATGTGATCATCTTGGATCGAGTGACGAAGACATTACGGGCCTTCTCATTGCAGATAAGATCGAGATATCGCTTGCGGTATCGCTGCTCGAGATCCTTGAAGCCGTAGTGGTCATCGGGGAGGGCGTGGAGACAAGGAGTCAGGAGGACGACCTCAGTCGCGAAGATGGACAGCTCACCCTCCTCTCCCTTCTCAATCTTGGTCTTAGGAGCAGTTCTACAGTGCTATTTAGTATGTTTTATAGTTCTGGGTTAGTTAGTAACTTACCGGCCGGGGTAGCCAATAACACCAATGATATCACCTCGGCGAAGGTGCTCGTGCTGGGCATCAAAAGCGGGAGCTCCCTCTCGCACCTCTTGCGCCTGACACATAATCTGGACCTTGACGCCCTCTGTTCGGACATCGTAGAAAAGAAGCTTGGAACCAGATGCTCGCTTTCCGTGGACACGGGCACCGATCTGGATGATCTTGTCCTTGGCATGCTCGCCAGACTTGAGGTGACCGAACTCCTTGACAAAGTTTCGTAGATCGTATGTGACATTGAACTTGTGAGGGTAAGGGTTGGGGCTCTTGGTCTCGCGGAGCTTGTTGATGTTCCTCGATCGAATCTCGAAGTACTGGTTGGGAGTGAGGTCCTTCTCGGCAGCCTCAGCACCACCAGCAGCCTTCTTGGGAGCGGGAGCAGGTCCGCGCTCAGCAGCCTTCTTCTTCTTTTCCTCCTCCTTCTGGCGGGCCTTCTGGCGCTTCTTCAACTCGGTCTTGGAGACCTTCTCACCAGTTACCTCATCGAGGTGCAGGTTGGAGACCTGCTCGGTTGGGGGGGCAGCAGCGTCAGCCATGATTGCGTCTCGTTTCGCGAGGGAGATAATTGAAGTGGCAGGTCTCCAAATCAGGCGACAGTTCCTGATTTAAGTATCTGCTGCCGGCAAATTGAGTCAAACTGTGATGGATGTGGTGAGTCAGTGGAAACAGTCAGGGCATTGGAGGGGCAGAAGAAATCCATTGGTTTGGGCGCCACAATCGCGGGGTAAGTTTTTAGTCAGGCATTCATTCTTGAGCGCACTCAGCCACAGATAAAACCATTGGTAGAAATGTCTATATACGGCAAAAGACCACGAGAACGAAGCAAGAGAAGTAGTGAGCTATCCGAATTGGTCATATTATTGAATCATGAGCAAGTTGTATCAAGCTCTGAGTCTTCGTCATTACTTGTGTATTTTTGTTAGCCAATCAACTATTGTGATTCTCAACTTTAACCGCCCAACTGAAAACGTTGTTTTATTCTAAAAACATGGCATCCCCGCGTACCCCCTGCATTGCCATGGCCATGTCTGTACCATGCATTGCTCCATTTTGCATTGCCATATTCATATTTGGCATTGAACGACTCATGTTAATGGCCGTTCGGTTGATAGGGCTCCCAGTTCCGTTGGGCATCATAAACTGTGCGGCTCGTTGTTGTTGCTGTTGCTGCTGTTGAACAGGCCGTGTGCGTGGTACCTCTAGAGTTGCTTGTTGCTGGACAGGTGGTTGAGGCTTGATTGGAGAGGCGTTCACCATGGCGAAGCTATCATCATCCTCCATCTCTGCATCGGCATCTTGATCACTGGCCTCGGCGATCGAGGAGGGCCCAGTTGTCGAGGCCGAAGTAGTGGCATGCTCGCTTGGAGCACCGTTAATGCTAGTTGTTGACTGACGTTTGGCAAGCTGTGGTCGTTGCGGTTGGTGTTGCTGCTGTTGCTGTTGTGCTTGGAAATGTGGCTGAGATGGCGTCTGGATCTGTGGCGTTGGTTGAGCACCGTTGACAGTAGCGGAAGAGGCTTGATTCTGGCTGGCTTGTTCCAACGTCCTCTGGGCATTCATCCCAGCAGCATTGGCCCTTGAAGAAGCAATGACACTCTTCCAACGCTCAATGGATCTTGTCACGAGAGAACCGAGGTCGAGTTGGCTATCCTCGATAGAGAAACCTACAGCCCTTCCGCCCTTGACAGCCTGCTCGTAAGAAAGGGAAAGCAGCTCCCTTTCAAGCGGAATTGTGACTGGTGGGGCAAGCCTGAACTCCTTTGGTTGCTGTAACTTGTTCAGTTGCTCAATCTGGGATTTGAGGTTGGCATTCTCTTGTTTGAGTCGGTGCTGCTTCTCCTTCATTTTCTCGGCCTCCTTGTGTTTTCTTCCCACTCCACGGGCTAACTCCAGAATCCAAAGTTCTTGCTGCCGTTGAATTGGAAGAGTCTCCCAAACTGCGTATGCTGACTGGAGGTGTTCATCGATTTGCGCCTCAAGTTGTTCGGCCATTTTCTCAGCCTTGCGGATCGACTCCCGAGGGTTTCGGAAACTGTTGTTTGTCGAAGGGGGGTATTTAAACTCGTCCATTACGGCGGTGGTAGCAGAAGCACATGTTACTTTCCAAGCCTTGAACTCTCCTGCGAAGTAAGTCCGCAGAGCCTCGTATTCGCGGTGCCCTGGCGATTGGACTGACCAAGATGTGGAGGTAGGATGTTGGGTGGACGAGAAAAGGGTCGGTGGGGGCTGTAGGCATTGAAGAGTGAGGGCAGGGAAATCGAGAGATAAGGGATCGAAATCGAATGGCATCGAGTTGCTGTCAAGTTGTACCCTATCCCTTATGTTAGCACTACAGAAGCAAAATCATCAAAAACGTGAATTCATACTTGGCTGCTCTCCAAGAGCTGAGGAGCTCCCTCAACGCGAGCTCCGCGGCACGGGCTGTATCCATAGCGTCGGAAAGTTTTTGCTTAACATCAAACTGGGCTTTTTGGATGGCCTGTTTGCTAACAGTACGTTGCATGCCAGGGCGTTTTGGTGGCTCAGGTGCGGCATCACTCTCCCAACTGCCTCGTTTCGGGATGTCGTTCATAACGCCAGTTGCCTCCCATGTTGGCTGAAAAGCTGGCGCATATGTCATGGTCGAGTCAACAGAGAGTTGATTATCTTTGGAGAGAACAGGGGATTGGAAGTCTTCGTTCTCGGGAAGGGGTGTATCCTTTACGACATTTGCTCTAGGCGTTCCCACAGGAGTTGAGGCTTCACGCCTCCCACCAAGGGAGCCCCGGGGCTGTCGTCTGGTGATGCTACCACGAAGCTTTCTGATAGCATCGACATCGTGAATCCCATCCGCGGGTTTTGGGTTCTTCTCCTTGATGTACAGATCGAGATGGCGACCGAGCGAAGAAGAGGTGAATGCTTGTCCACAAAAGGGGCAATTCTTGTCCTTGGGAGCACCGGCCTTGGGTGTTCCTGAGTCGGCCGTTTGGGGCGTAGAATCGGGCATTTTGAGGGTACGGTAGTTGTCAGGAAGGACCAATATCGAAAATTAGGGGGAGAAGAATACGAAAATACGGTGACCGCGGGGGAATGGTCTGGGTAGGCAGTAACTACAACAATGTAAAAAGTGGCTGCAGCTCCAATTGGGGAGCGTTACAGGCGTCAATCATAAGTAGCGAGCGAAGGTTGAAGAGAAAAGAACGAGCGTATTGGGGCCGAGACCTCCGGGCGCAAGGGAAGGTCAATGGACGTTCATGCAAAATTACTGAGCATGAAGATTGTTGAAGGAATGGAAGGAGGCGGTGGGGAGTTTGTTATGAAGTTGAGAGTCTAAAAGAGCGGACGGGAAGGGAGAACAAGAAAGAAAGGATGAAAGGAAAGGAAGATAGAGGCTCGAGAGGTTAAAGGCAATGGAAGTTTAGAGGCGGCGGGAGACTAAAGGGGAAGCCAGGTCTCTTAGCATCGCTAGGTTTAATTGTTCTTTGGATTTTTCCCCCTCTCCATTTTAAAATAAAGCCTCCTCGCTCCTCTCCTCCTTCGGGCTGTTCAGGGGCGGATCCAACCAAGACCCCCAGGCCCCAGATTGGCGCTGTTAGCACCAACGGTACCCCTGACGCTTAGTGGCCGTCCCGCCGTCTGGATGTCTCTCCCGCTGCTCGCTTAGCGCTGATCGGGCTGCTCTAAGAGGTCCGTCCTAGCGCCGTCGGGAGGTGCAACTGTCGCTGATGGGTGCTCCAATAACAATTGCTTCCTTGGAGGGCAGGGCGAGCATTTTGATCTAACGTTAGGGGTTGTAACGGTGAGATCTTCAGAAATGATGTGATCAACAGAGATCAAGCTTCGATTGGAAATATTTGTCGAACAGAATGTTTTCAAGAATGTATGAACTTCATCAAAAGTCCCATTGCCATCTTAGTTTGGACATCGGCATTGGTGGTGATCGGCTCAGGGTCACTAAAAGGGAGGAGGATATGCAGCTATAAATACGACAATCTCTCGTTCTAAAATTATGGACGTCTTAGCTAAAATTCTATTATCTGCCCCGTAACTAACTCTCCATTCCCGTGTGACTGAATTACGGTAAACTCAACATGACCGTTGATTATTTCACAAGCTCCACTTGCATTGCTCGCAATCAAAGTTTTGAAGGCTGACAGCTTGTTCAGATCCAGTCCCTAATACGAGCTCCTTTTCATACGAAAGCGAAAATTATGTGTTTGTCGGATCAAGACGTAATGCCTTAAGATCGGCCTTAATTCTCTAGATCGTGGATCTGGCGTTTGCTACTCCGTGCCCTACATGACATCCCTCACTTCCACCGTTTGGTTACCTTTGTCAATTGGGCTTTCAGCCCGCCTTTGATGACGCCTCAATCCTGCATATCGTAATAGAGTGGGTTCAGTTGGTTCCCCAGGTGCAGCCCCTTTATGTAAGCTTAGTGCTAAAGTAAAGTCAAAGCAAGTGTCGGGTATGTCTCAAGCAAAGGCAAGCACTAATAAAGTGACACAAGGTCAAACCATTTATCGATCCAAGCAGCCAACGACGTCTCATCTCTGAACCCCAAACAAAGAGACTGAGGTGGCCTGGGGAAACAAATTCTGAACCGACTGGACGCTGCCATCGGCAGTCCTTGAGCGCTAGGCGCCCGAACTTGCACAAGATTGGCTCTCAAGTAGAAGCATGGGTGGCACCGACCATGGGGTTGCTATTAGGCATTGGATCCATGTCCGAGACACGACATAGGACCAGCAGACGGTGAGCTTCTGCATGCCCCTTTACCACTGCAGCAGCACTATCTCACATAGAGATCAGTGAGCCACTCACTCGTCATTTACTTGCAATCTTTAATTACAGCCTGCAGACGCAACGCAACTTGCTTCTCTGGAGTTGGCTTTTCATGTGGTAATACAATGCTCGGCAATTCTCATCCGTACTTTCATCCGTGTTTTCATCCTAGATCTATCAACCCTATTCGCCTGTTCAGTCCAAGGCCGGGTTCACATTCCAAGCTGAGCAGCTCAGGGCTTCTGGAATAAAGCAGGAAAGGTCCGGCTCTCACAGGGCATCGGCAAAGCTTATTGGTGAGCTTCATCCGTTTGTCTTCTGTTAGCCCCTGACTTGAGCCGCAAGCGCGACAAGATGGCAAATAACTCTACTTAACCTGAGACTATACATGATAGCCGCCGGTGCACCACAACTACTACTTTACTGCCCACTGCAGCTCCAGCTTGCGTTTGATACCAAGTCATGGAAGTCAAACAAAAGGAAAGAAGAATGGCATCAAGTAGTTGGCACACTGGTATGCGACAATATGCCCTTACCCCGAAATAAAATATTACTTGCATATTCTGCCAACTTTGCTTTTGTTTGATTCCAGAATTGGCCGTCCTCCAATCGTCTTTTATTTGCCCTCCACTCACTTTGCAGGGGCCGAGATAACTTCGAGAGCTACAGTGGGAAGTCTAACGAAGTAGAACAAACGGAACAAACGGAGTGTAGCCAGCAGATTGACGAGAACTGCAACGCGCCGATGAGATAAAGTAGCACAGGGCTAATTGAGCGTCTGAAAAAGGGAAGCGTCCCTCATCAGATGTTGTCGCGGGGTCACGTGCTCTGTGCCACACCTCAATTACAGCCACAGGCACAGCCTCCCGTCTTCCAAAAGCGGGCTGTAGCTCTCCAACGAAGCGCGACGACCTCTCCTCCACTGATCGTTATTTCTTCTATCGCGGAATTGAGGTGCCGCAGCCGCCTGTTTTCAAACGCATGGTCAACACCATAAATCTGCAATCATTTACAAAGTATTTTAAGGCAGACTAAGGTAGCACACGTCAATCAATAATCTTCAAAATGCCCCCTGGTATGTTACTATTATTATTTTTGCGCCTTTCACCACCACCGACGCCTGTCGCAAGCGACAAGCGATGGGCGCATCCCGATCGCGTCTCCGGTTACCGCATGATAGAGCCCTTGATTCCGGCGCAATTGGTATTCTGCTGTTGCTGACTATTTGCGCAGCTCTTAGTGATGAGGAATCCTCCGACGTCGAAGAGTATACTACACCTCCTCGCGCGAGCAGCCGCAAGAAGTCTACCTCGGCTGCTGCGGTAGATCAGCCCGACGACGTGAAACCAGAAGAGGCGTCCGGCCAAGAGGACGAGGATGAAGATGAAGATCTGGACGAGGATGAGTACGATGTCAGCGAACCGGTCGAAAGGGCCAAAGCTCACATATTGCAGATTTGTTGTTGAGGCTATCAAAAAGCACCTGATCGACGACGACGTAGGGAGCCATTGCCCAGTTCGATGTCACATGCTAATTGCGGCCGCAGGGAAGTCTGAAGTTTCAAGTCAAGTGGGAAGGCTACGAGGCCAAGAAAGATTTGACGTGGGAGCCTGAGGAGAATCTTAGGTAGGTGGTGGAGTCGCATGACTTGCTCAAGGCCTTGTCTGACGTGTTCTTCCCAGAGAGTCTGCCCAGGAAATCCTCGACGCCTACTTTGAAAGGTTTGGTGGCCGTGAGAAACTCTTGGAAGAGACTGAAACAGCATCAAAAACGAAGAAGCGCCGCCGCGCCACCACCAATGGCACCCCCAGCACAACCTCTACAACTAAGCGATCACGACGCGAGCATCCGGCCAACTCGGCAACTCCAGCGACAGCGAAGAATTGGAGCCCTCCAGCAGGATCATGGGAGGAGGAAATTGAGACAATTGATGCCTGCGAAGATGAAGGCAGCGGCAAGTTGATCGTTTATCTTATTTGGAAGAACGGCCGCAAGACCAAGCACGACACCGAGGTTATCTACAAGAAATGTCCGCAAAAGGTCAGTAAGCTGGTGATTGGGAAAAGCCACATTCACTAACGTGAAGTGATACAGATGCTCCGCTTCTACGAGCGCCATGTCAAGATCATTAGAGACGAGAACAAGGCTCTGGTTGATGGGACAGAGAACTAGTGGCATTTGTACAGGCATGAAAGGGAGATTGGGGCGAAGAGAAAGCAAAGCAGCGCATTCAGGTATTCGTTTTGTACTGATACCCGATGCTGTAACTGGGACGGCGTTATCGGCGATCGCCATTAAGTCGCGGAAGGGTTTCTATTTTTCTATTTGATTCATCATGCGTCTACACGCGGAAAGGAAACGGAATATTGGTATTCAGACAAGACATCAGATCATGGAGAAACAGGGCGCACGTAGCATGTGTATTTAAAGCCTGTATTTTTATGAAGGAGCGTGTTGGCTACGCAATTGAGCCGCAGTAATTAATAGTGTGCAACATTCATGTGAAGATCTCAGACTCGTGCCTTGCATTCACAGCTGTAGCAATATCCATGTTTCATGGAAGTGCGGCACACCAGGGCCTTTTCATAATCCTTGGCTTATAGTCAGCCAGACGCGTCTCGACGCGACAACAGTCAATTGAAGAGTCCTGAGGTGACGTTTTCTGCGAGGCTGGGAAAAAACCAAAGGTGCTCCAGCGTGTCAGAGGCCCCTGAAGGTCTCCACAGCGGGACCCTTGCAGCGAGCTTAGCTCTCCCCCCTCCCAGCCTTGCCATTTACTACCTTTGGGCTGTAAGAAAAAGACGGTGGCGGGGCAACGACTTATAATAGAGTGAGTGGCCGTTTGTGAGTGAGACTGCGCATTCCAGTTCCTGATCTTGTTTATCTTTTTTCTGAGAAACGAATCTTACGACTTATTTTCTTGAATAAAGAATTGAGAGATTTTTGAACATCTACGACTTGAACGACATTATTGTACGACTTTGTGATTGATTGGTTCATCTAGTTGCACCACATTGACTCTCCTCCAACCTCTTGACTCGGGCTTCAACTCTACTCTACTCTACCACAATAGAATTCTTGACCGAGTATGTCTACTCATGTACCTCAGCAGCCTAACTGGACCCTTGAACTAACTGTCTCAGATTGAAACACCTCTCTTGAATCCATTGTTAGCGACAAAGACAATCTCAACTTATTACAACACTACCACCTAAATCTCACCATACACAACATCAACCTCTCTCACCAATTGTCCCACTTTCAACAGCCAACATGAAGAAGAACGACGTTATCGCCATCATTATCATCATTCTCTTCATCATCCTAGCAGCCGTGTCCTTCGGTATCTGGAAGCTCGTCTCCATGGCCAAGAACCACATGAGCGTGACAGGCAGCGGCACATCAAGCAGCCACTCCAGCCGCGACATTGCCGACTAGTCCATCACGTCTCACGTTTTCAATCTTCTGATACCCAGTGGTGGTTCCTTTTCATTGTTTATACTTTGAGCACAGCGGTTTTGTGGTTATTTGCTGCCACTTGTTTTTGATACAAGATAAAATCATGGTGGAATGTGGGTGGGTTGGTAATATCTGGATGATTGATTTATGAATCACTCATGTTTGGGTCACGGCGCAATATCATGGCGACATTGGATGGGTTATTTGTTTTTGGAATATGGTTATGACCTTTTGGGCATATGGGCAATGCATTTTGTATGGAAGATAGACTACGTTTATGATTAGGAGGCCGAGTATGGCATGTGAATGAAGCAATACGCATATGTATCACTTGCAACAATGATCGGCTGAGCCTTTGTTCAGGGTCTTCAATCAAAGAGCCACTCTGCATACTAACGCAAAGCATTGCTTTTTAAATCATTACCTATAGTCCTAATTCACAATGCTTTGCAGTTTATTCAGACCTGGCTTTTCGTGATATCAGTGACAAAGAACTCTAAATGCATATTTAAGGAAGGCTCACAACACCCTAGGTCTCCCTTCTTGGCCACACAGTCTCGTCAAATCTTCAGGTACATCATACACATTCTTATATCAATTCTATTCAAATCACTACAATGGTAAACCCCGGTTTTCTGATGCCAGATCTTATCGAGCAGGCCTCTAAGCTTAGTATCGACGATCTTGACACCGACCAGAGTGCTAGCAGCATCTCGCGTTACCAGAAATACCCCTATGCTCACTTTTACTCCTTCAGGACCCTTCCCGATCCTCGTGAAATGAACAAGTCCAGCCCTGAGTATCATGAGCGTATCAGAAAAGCCATCAAAGCCCTCGAGGAAGAGTATCTTGAGGTTTATCAAGAGTACCAGGCTTTTAAGAACATACTCATTCTTATGGTTGAAACGGACGACCAGCATAGCTGGAACGAATTCATTCTGGACCCTCGCGAGTACATGCAATTTGGTGAGGGGAAACTGGAGGACCTCGAGACGTTCCCTGCCCATTGCAATGGGGTCCATCCGTCTCCAAGCTACCAGAGTCAAGATCTCTTCAGTTCAAAGCTCTTTAAAAAACGGAGGCAATTGGCCGAAATAAAAGGACTTATCGAGACCGGACGCCGTGAGCTGGCCCGGCTGGAGGGCTCGGACTCGTTCATCCAACTCCGCAATGACTTTGTCAAGCATCACGAAGAAGTAGCGGCTAACTGCGATTTTTGCGACGTCAGTGAGTTTAGTAGCTGCGCGTCTACCTCTTCCGGCGGAACCCGAACTATTGAAGATTAGGAAGAGGCTTGCTGGAGGGATGAGGAGACTAACTTGATCCATGAGGATATCCGGGGATAGAAATTGTTGCCTCTCGTGCTATGCAGCGCAGGCTAAGCTCTCTGCAGACAGATCAGCAGAGAATTGATCACAAGGTTCGGGAGATTTTATACTTAGGGTGTATTCAGCTACGAAAAGAAAATGACATGCATGTTGCTGCAAATCTTTGTAATGACTGCAGATTGGGTTCTATTTACGTGATATAAGTGCTTCTAATATCGAATCTTCCACGGATAAACTGTTCCAAAGTAAGAACCGTATGTCTTTGGATTATCACTATTCAAGGACGACTCAGGTCTGCCTTGTTCGATCCAGCTTACCCTGTTGATGAGATTCTTATTCCTGATTGGCCTAGGTGTTGTAAGTTCGCTCAATGAGGCAACTCCCACTTTTCATAACTAGGACGAAGTTGTGAATGTCTGTCGGATGTCACTCAAGGATAAATTAAAATACTGTACAAGTATGGTTTTATGGTATCTTCATTTCAGCTCGAGAGCACGAAAGTTGCATACACGACGACAAACATGGCTGATCACCCACAGACCGACTTGCGGCACTCTATTTATCTGTAAGAAATCTAGCCTAAAGCTTCTCGCCCCTTGACTTGTGTACTATCATATATATGCGTAACTGAAAACTTTGTTCAAGAATTTGTCACTGTGATCCTTACTTGCGGGCAAAAGGAGTAGGAGTTGGGGCCATGATGGGCTCAGTAGGAGCAGCGGGAGGGGGCTGAGGCACAGCAGGAGGAGTGGAAGCAGAAGGAGGAGGGACAGGGACCATGGGAGGAGGAGTAGGGGTAGGTCCGGGAGTAGGAACTGTCAATAGTCAGTATGGTTCGAGTTGTCCTGTATGATAGAATCACTTACCGCCGGGCTGCTGGCCGTTGCCAGGCACGGGCAACCAACCACCAGGTCCTCCGTTCTGACCACCACTGTAGTTACCGTAGTTTCCAGGCTGAGTTCCATTGATAGAGGGAGGAGGGGGGAAGAAACCTCCAGGGGCGCCCTCTGTATAAGTATCAGTATGATAGTCAACAACGTAAACCAGACATATACTCACGAGGGAAAGGAAGAGCCATGGAAAGGGGAGCCACGGCGGCAATGGCAAAAGCAATGAAACCAGTCTTCATTTTGGCGGTTTGTTCAAGGTAGTGACTGAAGAAGTTGTTTGATCTGAGGAAGAGAAAGAATGGTAACGACTTGAAGTCTTTATAACGAACGAGGCCAGCTCAAACAACAAGGATATAAGATAAAGATAACTTATCGGGTCACAGACCAGGACGTTGTTGTCAAGAATAGAGAAGAGACAACGGGTTGGAATGCTCAAGAACTTGTTTTTGACGAGATTCGAGGCGGTGTTATATATCTGTTGCTACAGCGGGCCACTTTCCCCCTTGGTAGCTCTGCACATCTTTACCGTGATGGAGGAATATACCGAGAGACCCTTGAGTGATCAGCCATAAATTAAGTTGGATCATGGAATGTGAAAATATGAGAGGCTAGGATGGTACGTATGAGTTGACTGACTCTCCACAGTGTCGATAGTCCTGAGCGAACCGGTATGGCCGATGGAGGACCGGTAGTTGGGATACTTTGTATCCTCTTGATGAAGCTTACATGGGTGGGCCAGGAAGGATAAAAGCTTGTCTTGTCCTGGATGTTTCTCTGCTGAATGCTTGGACGGTATTGACATACAACAAATCGCGGCGCTTTACGTGTATATACTATGATTTTATGCTTAACAACTCTAATTATTATTCGATTATTTACGTCTGCAATAATATATTCTTTATTTATTTAGATATCTTATTACCTTGCTGGCAATACTCTTGATTCATGATCAACGCTGCTGTCACAGGATGACATGTTTTCAAAAACAAGAGTAATCCGTCTCCATAATTGAATCCACAGCTTTCTAACAAACGACGCGTAACACAAAGAAACAACGTGAAAAAAACCTCTCCACCAGTCCCTACGGAGAATTCACCTCCAGTAAAACACATGCCCCACAGCCTATTCCCTGACAGCCAGCACCGTTTGTTTCATGTCTCAACTCTCCCTTTTTTTTTCTCCACCACCAATCATTGTCTAAAATACAGTACGTGCGATAACTGAGGCTCTTTTGTTCTGCAGGTACGTGTGTCGCAGCGCAGATCTCTTCTCCAACAAGGTCCTCTATGCAATGTCAAGGAGGTTGACGACGCGGCCTGCAAAGGTTGGGGCTGGGGTTGAGATCCAGTGGAATTGACTTCTGAGGGATGAGATAAAATTGTGGGATCTTGTGAAAGCGTATCTTTGTCTTTATTTTACGGTTTCATCGTTCGTATTGACGAAATCTATGCTACGTTGGATGTGCAATACAACGGTACGTCGTTGAACAAGAATGAGTCGACAAAGTTCGATTGTAACCTCAACATCTTTCATCCTTAATAAGAAACCAATCATCCTCGCCGTCTATGTCGTATGCTCTATTCATATCATAACCTCCCATCATGTTGAACCGTGGGTATTTTCTTCCTCAATCGATCCTCTTCGTCCACAACATTCCATCTCTTATCACTTCGCCTCTCACCAACTCATGACGCCTCGACCACGATCAAATCCACCTCGTAGCTGACGCTCAGGTTTGACCACCTTGCCTCTCAAGACTGTATACCGGATCAAGTTCTCGCAATCTTCAGGCATGACACGTGCCAACCAGATACCCTGCGATGCGCCCACGCTCTCCTCTGCTGACCCGTTTGAACCGTTGCCGTTCTTTTCAACGCCATTTGTGCCGTTCTGCTCCTCAGGAACCGGATCATCCAGACCAAACGCATTTGGCCGTCGGTAGATCATGACGTTGGCAGAGTACTTGTGTCCTCCCACATGGCTGATGTAGTAGATACCAACACCACCAGGCCTCTCATCATGCAAGTCTCGATACAGGCCCAGTGGCCTTAGCTGGCGCTCAAACTCTTTCCTAAGAATCGGGGCACTCTGGGCACAACGAACATCGCGTGTCCGATGACTGCACATGAGGATAACAGCATTGTGAGGGCAGTCCTTGAGGGAGACATCCGGGATCCCGGCGGCCGGGTCAGGAGACGGAAGAGAGGCCGGGAGCGGCGTGGGGTGAAGGGGAGAAGTACTTGTCGGTGCCTGGTTGATAACTTCGGTAATAATCCGAGGCACACTGAGTGGGTGGACGTTGTGAAGAAGCTTGAAGGCTGGCAGTAGTAAAAGAGTTGTGGGCTCAGAGTAGTCATCTGTATCATGAGGAGTCGGCATATTGGATGCCGAAAGCTTGAGTTTCTGTGGTTGTTAGCGCCGCAATGATCAAGTTTGATGAGTGACGTGAGAGAAAAGCACACTCATCTCAGGCGTCACTCATATGAGATAAAGACTCACCCCATTCGTAGGCTCGCTCGCCTTAGAAAAAGCCTCCATTACACTCCCCTTTTCATCCGCCACATCCCTCACCCAATCCGTCTTGCCTGTTCCAACAAGGAGATGTGTACTCCAAGCCTCGACAAATCCATACAGCACATCCTCCTCCTCAATCTTGAAGCCTCTAGGATACCTCACGGAGCAGTTTTCACAGTCGTGTAGACATTCCTCGCCGTCTACTCCTGGATCCGTCTTGGCGAAAAGCTCCGAAGACGAGGGCTTGCTATCCTGTTTTGCAGAACCCCCACCGAGCATGGAGCCCATGAGGTTCTTTAATGAGAGAGCCATTCTTTGCTTCGCGGGCTTGTGCTGCGGCAACCAGGACGGTGTAGCGGCTGTTCTGGAGGTTGAGGTTAAGGCAGAGAGAGGGGGGTTGTCGTGTGTGGATGAGGATGATAAGGTCATGTTGTAATAAGAGATCTTTCGGTAGATTTTAGGGCCGTTGACTCCAGTCTCCAGTCTCCAGTCTCCAGATGCCGTAGGTTCGGTTCGGAATGGGACAGTTTGATTGGCACTGATCCACTTGAATAATTAATTGGTAATGGATATACCAGTAAACTCTTGGAGATGTTACTGATTGATAATCAGATGATCGATCAGATAATTATACGCTGCAACCAAATAAATACCTACTGAAATGGAAGATTGTTCAAAAGGACCAGATCCCTCGTTTTCTTTAACAGTATCGAGCCTCTTACCGCTTCAAATACTTGACACACCTCAAGCATTTCGCTTTATTCCTTCGCTCTTTTGCCTCTCCCGTCTATCTCCGATCACCGAGCCTGGCAAACCTGGTAACATGGGCACGTCATTAGATTGGATCGGCTCCCACAAAGAGTTATCAGATCCTGTCATTTTCAACCGTCAGGTTCATCAAACCCCCGGTCTCCAATTTCAGCTTTAAACGAACCCCAGCATTAATTACAGCATTGTGCAAAAAAAAAAAAAACAGAAACATCTCTTTAGACTGGCTGGTAGCCCCAGGTTTCTCTCATTCTTTACATAAGAATGCTTAAGGTTTTAATTAAACTCGAGATTGAGATGTAACGGTTGTGTCAAGACCCGAAAACAATCCTTCTTCATGAAAATCTCGCAGTCGGGATGAAGCAACTCCCGCTCATATTATTCAGCCCACTCATGTTCCTCAAAAATCATCAAAAGAAACATGCTATGCGGTAGCTGATTCCAGTAATACAAAATGCCTAGCTATAGCTTCTTGTAGCCTTTTCATTCCTAATGATCGCCTCTGCCTGTCATTTGCTTGTCAGTGCTTACGCGTTCTTCTTTCTAGCCTCATCATAGCCCTCCTCTTCACTGTCGTCATCTTCGTCGTCACCCTCTGTCCTTTCTTGATCTGTCTTATGTCGCCTGTTCTTCATCGCCTCTCGAATCTTGCGACTCGCCTCATCAAATCCCCCTGAAGAGTCCAACGTGGTGAATCCACTGATAGGGAACCCGCCAGATCCAAAACCACCTCCGCTGCTGCTTGATCTCGACCTGCTACGGGCTCTGGAAGGGGGTCGTGTAGAGAAAATGCCCACGTGACCAATGTTGCTGAAAGAATCGTTGCGCGGGAGGGCTCGGCTCGACTGTGTCGTGCTTCGTCGCGACAGAGCCGGCGGGGTCTCGGGCTCATAACCAGTACTTGACTGATCGCTGTCTCTTCGGCGATGGATCTTATGAGATGTGGATGAGCCACCCTCGGCTTTGTACAGATCGGGCACAAGTCGTGCCTTTTCAAAGTCATCAAACATCTCAGGTCCCAGCGTGTTGATGACATCCGTTACCTGGGCGCTCAGCTCGGCTCGTCGTTCTCGTAGCTTATGGATGTTGTAATTTGAGGTTGGTGTCAAGCAGAGGAGTAGTGGACGCAGAGACTTGAAGATATCCATACCGACCTCACCAAAACGTAGTGATGCAAACGTGATACCAACCATGAAGGGCCACAATGCGAAATAAACCACCAGCAGCGGTATGCCCTCGGGAACATATCCCCAAAGACGGTCTTGCCACACCTTGAAGGTTATGATGGCCGAGTAAATATGGTAGAGGGTAGGTGCAAAGCCGATTGCCACAAGGATCTTCCAAGTCGCCATGACATCGCGGCCGCGAATCTTGACTGTTGAGCCCGCCAGAGCTGTCTTGGCCTTCTGCCGGCTGATAATCTTTGTCGCTACGAAGACAGGCGAGAAAAGGATCAAACCTGGTAATGTGCAAATGAAGAGGAAGAGCAGTTTGATTGATCGGTAGATGAAAAGGAAGATGACTTTGATCATGTTCATCTTGGCATACTGGACTTGATGGTCTTTTAAGTTGAGGTATCGCAATTGGGAGTTGTACTCTTTGACTGCGGCAGACAAGGACGTGATGCGCTCATCATTCTTGTATCGCTCATACCCCATGCATAGTCTACGGTTAAGCTCAATCACCACGGGCAGTGGGAGCTTCTTGCCGGTGGGGTTGTAGAGTCGGCGAGCGGCCTGGATCACCATGAGTGTGTCGTAGTCGGGTGCAGAGACGGTGACAGAGTTCAGAGCCTGATAGACTGTGTCAAGAACTTGGCCAATGGCTTCACGACGTTGGTTGTTACAGTAAAGCTCAACGAGATGACGAGGAATCTCGAAGGGAGCACCGAACTCAACAACCGCACGTGAGCGGAACTTGTGGGCATGGAAGTAGTTCATTCCCACAGGGACGATCTTAAGACCACAATCAGGATCTTGGGCCAAAGTTCCAAGAGCCATGATAGCGACACCAGCCTTGAGAGGTAAAAGCTCGGTGCGATCATGGCTACCACCTTCAGGGAAGATACCAACACAGCCACCATTGCAAAGCCGAGAAAACACTGCCTCATAAACCTTGGTCTGGTCAATGTGAGGTGCCAACTTGAACTTGGTGCCCTGGTAACCTGGAGCAGGACCCTTCACATCCTTGTTGGTGAAGTTTCCATCTTTGTCAATATCATCACGGCCTGTGAGTTGTTGCAGAGCGACCTTGCCCTTAAAAGGTCGCTTGACACGGATCTCTTCAGGACCGATAATCTGGGAAATATCGACACTAGCGCCACTGGTGTTCTTGGTTGAGGGAAGAAAGAGCATGCCCTGAACCTCACCCTCTCCCTCGCCGAATTTGGTACCGATACCGCGAACAAGAGTTGGGTCGTTGATAGGATCGGGGAGGTAGATGGTACCAGTAGCTGGTTTGGCAGCATCTTGAGCGCGACCGACGGGAACTGAGCCGACTTGCCGCGAGCCCCATCCGATGAAGCCGTGAACTGACTTCTGGGCAATGAGAAGGGAGGCTCGCCGCTTAGCTTCGTTACGGAGGGTTCGTTGAAGGATGATAGCATCGACGAACTATTACAAATCAATAATTGGTCTTATCTGGTACAATATATTCATGGTGCGCTCTGTCGTTCACCACGAGCTCCCCAGATAGATTAAGCACAACTAACCTGATTGGCATGTGGCGCGGCGACGAACAGAACAGGACCAGTCTGAGGAACGCGCCAGGCACCTCGAGGCACAACTTCTCGGAAGAACATATCGACGATATTGCCGACGGTATATAGGAACATATCGTACTTCCAGTTCACCATAGGATAGAGCTCCTTCTGCGGGGTTGGGTTCATCGCGGACTGCGGCGCTGCCGCGTCCTTTGTCCCAGCATGTTTAGACATTGCGGGCTTGCGCGGAAGAGCCCAACGTTATTGGAACAGGTGCGAAACGTTATTTCGAAGTCGAACTGGGGATGGGTATTATACAATAAAAATTTCGACAGAGCTAGACAAGCGAGTTGTAATCGATGTGAGGGGCGGCGGGCCTCAGTTATGGAGCGAACGCAGGACGGAAGGTTAGGCGGAAATATGACGAGAGATAATATATACAAATGCTCGGAGGTGTTGGTTCTATAAAGACCTCTGCATTCCTGCTTAGTGACTGAACGACAAGGGTGAAGGAAATGGAAGAAGATGCAGGATGGAGAAACAGCTGGGGCTGCTGGGGTTGGGAACAGAATGTTACTGTACCTCAAGGAGGGGAAGGTACGTGATGGAGGGACAGGTGTCTGCCCAGTAAGGAAAGGCTGGTTTGAGAGCTGACAAGCTATGATCTTCGTAGGATGAGTTAAAAACCACGGCACTTTATCTTTGGCACATCACAATTGGTTCCTTTTCTCGAGTCGCGCCTTTGTTATTGCTGTCTACGAGCTTCCTTTTTAGTTGCAATCGCCCGCTTGCAATCCCTTCTGAGAACCGAGGATATATACTTCCAAGCCCTATGGACTATAGTCTGCGGCGCAAACCCGTACTCGCACTCGGCGCTTTTTCCCTGCAAACTGTTTATCATCACTCCACTTAAATCGGAGATCCGGTGCGGTACGGTACGGGATGGTGCAGGTTGAAAGGAGCACCATGGTTTTTGCGCAATCAGTATAGCATCGAAGACATTGTTTAACCTGAGCATGCCGGTCACAAGCCACAAATAACAGTTCTGCATGAACAGTACAACAATAATAACTCTTAAGAGCTTCAAGATCTAAGGAAGTAGTCAGCAAACTGCATCAAGAACAAAAACATGTACCATCCAATGGCCTCCTTTGCCCTGCCGAGAGATCACAAGCCCGAGTCACCTATTCATCAATCACAAGTTAATTCACACCACTATCGTCACCACCCCAGCCACTGATAGTTTGCTCAACCCCGGAACCATCCGCTCCATCACGCTACAGTGCCGCTCCATATGGGTCCTTTACCGAATTCTCTTTGCGAATTTCCGAGAAACATCAACAAGAAAGAGAAAATCGCATCCGTGCCCCCGTATTCACATGTCAATTGTTGACTCTTTATTGAGAGTCTCCATCACTACGGTCACGAAAAGTCTAGTGAAGACAAGTAACACCTGCTTGGTGTGAATCTTGTCGATATCAGCCAAGTCCCAACAAAAATGCCAAGTCAAGTGGTATTAATGCAGTTGAGACCTCTAATGCACCATCAAAACGAGGGAGGGTGTGCACTCTGCAGCATAGGTACATACCTATAAAATTGCCGTGCCTCCCAATCCGTAAGACCGTCTGCTCATCCCGAGGCCGAAAGGATCTTCAGATTTCAATAGAAGAGAATAGACGAGATGCTGGGTTGGGTATTCTAGACCTGCAACTACACAAGGTTACACACCTTTCCCCAAATCCCTGCTTGAATATGCAATTGTGATGCGTTATGCTGTAACTACTGGTCGCTGGTGGGGTAATGTCTCTGATATTTTTGGTCGTAGGCTTAGGGTACCTTTTCACCACACGTCGCGATCTGAACATATCATCTTAAATGATCATGTACTAGAAATTGTTGCGACGTTTGAAAGCTGGTATTGGGATACCTAACTTGACAGTGCCGAACCATAGTTATATGTTTCCTAACGCCTTGGTAATCCGAATTCATTAAAAGGACGCCGATAGATATCCAAGTCGAGTCCAATGATCCTGAGCACTTAGCGTTTTCCTCGTCGCCGGCTCTTTTTCTCTGGCACACTTGCGCTGCCGCCTTCTAGCTCACCCTCCTCAATCTTGCCCTCATTTTCCAACTCTTTCAATTTCTCTTGCCCCGATATAAACATGCTTAGGTCCCGGTTCATCTCTTGAAGGTCGGCATTCTCTCCTTTGAGTTTCTCCAACTCTTTGACTATTGCTTCGTGGTCGCTGTTGAGATGCTCGATCCGCTTCATCAGTCCCTCGTTTAACCGTTTTTCCTCTTGGAGAGATTTGCCAAGGTTGCGTGCTAACGTTTCGCTCTTGCTCGCCTTGTTACGCTCTCGAGAAAGTTGCTTCTCTAGCTCTGGTATTGTTTCCTGGCTGAGGGTTGTATACTTTTCGTCGAGCGCTGTAAGCTTTTCCATAGCCTTTGAGGCCTGTGCTGCAGCATCCTCAGCCGCAGCAGAAGCTTTCGAGGCCTTATCCACAGTCTTGCTGATCAATTCTTCATAGTATGCCCTTTGAGACTCCAGTTGGCTCGTGACCAGATGTGTGTACTCCAGGCCGATGCTGTCTAGCTTGGCTCGAGGAACAACATCCTCTTCCTCCAAGTGACCAACCGACCTATTTCTAGAAGGAAGTTCCACGACTTTTCCATCCCCTTTGTCTCGTATCAGTCGATGAACCCACATGTCTCCAGCGTAGTCCCAGACATGCTGTGTTTCCAGCTCCAGAGCGAAACAATGAGCTGTCTCTTTCCAGTGATCTTTTGCATGGCCACCTTTGTATCGGCCACAGCCCACGTAGCCGCAGATTAGGCAAATCCATAGATCATCTGTGCAATCGCAGATGCTACAGAGATTCGAGACTCCAGACCCGAATGGCTGTGAATGAGGCCCCGAAGGTTCTGATTCTGAGTTGGGTGAGGTGTTCGTGAACCGACAGACAGGACATCCAGCACCTTTCCAATTTTGGAGGCATGTACAGTGGAAGACATGAGAGCATGGAATTGTCATCAGCCCATTTGTCTCATCCATGCGTTCCAAACATACAGGGCAAGTTGGCAATTCCACAAGATTCGGCGTCGGAGGAGGAAACGGCCTGAGACTGCTTGACATGCCAGCCGGCGAGGATAGAGGGGAAAGGGCCGCGCTTGATTTTCTTCGTGTTGGTGTTTCGAATGTTATACTCTTGACGAAGACTACATGGCAAATTTGAGGCTGTATCATTGTTAGAGATATGCGTAGGGATATTGGATGCTTTAGTCACTTACTTCAACAGTATTGAAGACCTTTCCATCGAACTCTCTCCGCCATTGCTTGGCCCGAAAATTGTCTCGGAACTTGAGCAACACAAGATATCTGTTCATCCGTGATGTCATGACCATACGACAATGACTGATATCTCCCCTCCATTTTTCTCCAACGAAACCCATAAGGTCACCCGGGGACATATACGCAGGAACTGCTGGTATACAAAGAGTTGTGCAGTCGGTATCCTTTGAGCCACTTGCTTCAGATTCTTGATGGTTCGTCTCGACGAGTCCGGAAGTCTCGTCTCCTTCTCTGTAAAAGTGTACGACTCCCCAACCAAGCTCAGTATTCTTTGTCTCGAGAGGAAGAAACTCGGCTTTTGTCGCTGTACCGGCTCCTCCGAATGTTGGCCCCAGTGAAGGAGCCGCAGAGGGGCCGCTTCGGGTCGTCTCGCCTGCCATTGCGTGCCCAGTTCTAAGGTCGACCGTCTCCAGGCTAACACGGCCAAACCGCCAGTCTCTAACTGCGTTCTGTGGATGTATCGCGACACTTGAGTTCGGGGGCGGGAAACTGTTAGCTCGCTCGAGCCACTGTCTCTCGGTTACAATCTCGATTTTCCGTCCGGAGTCTTTGATCGATGGCCTCGCAGCTGCGCCACAGTCTATTATACCGAGACTCGATGAAGGCGAGCTTTGCCCCGTAAGGATGGGTAGAGTTGCGTGATTCGCAGAGTCTTGCTGGGGAGATTCTATAGATCTCGATACCTTATACGTGGTGCGTCGGTCTGGTCGCGGATGGGATGGAAAGTCGTCGAAGACACTCGCTTCAGGAGACGGAAGCCAAATTTCGTCTTGAGCCTTAGCTGCTGATGTTGCAGCGACCGGATCAGGAGTCGGATAAAGCTCGAATTTGAGGTGATAGAAGTAAGACGGCATAGCCTGACGCATCGGTCTGCGGTTGGACCGCTCGCTCGAGAAAGATGCACAGAGTCTTGGTCGCAAACTCGGCTTGATAGAGGTATAGAGTAAAGTATGTCGTTTATTACTAAGGAGGCCAAAATAGATGGTGATGATGAAGCGGTCGATATTTGTAAACCATCATATGCCTGCGTGTGACAGTGACGACGAGGAAGAGGCCTGACTTGGTGGGTACACGAGTATTTAAAGAGGAAAGATTTAAACTTGCAACTTGCGGCTCATGAGCTCTATTTCGGCCCCACCCATCATGACCTGGCTGTGCTGTGGAGTACCCAACGACCACTGAGGGGCAACTCCACTCAGCGTGAACATCACTTACATGGCAAAACATAGAACATCACAGTACACAAGTGAGTCAGCAGAGTCGGCAAATAGCCAAGTAGACTTCAATAGAGTCTATTAGCACCCTGCAGAATATTCGCAAGGGCAAAAACTACATAATAATCATGACAGGCCTAGAAGTTGCCTGATCTCGAATTCCATGCCAGTCCCTAACGCCGTCATAAAATCCATCACCGTTCGTTGGAATCGCTTACTGGCCGCCGCGAAGTCGGAGAACGAGGTGGAGAGTTGACTCCTTCTGGATGTTGTAGTCGCTCAGGGTGCGACCATCTTCCAGCTGCTTACCAGCGAAGATAAGACGTTGCTGATCAGGGGGATACCCTCCTTGTCCTGAATCTTGCTCTTCACGTTGTCGATAGTGTCACTGGACTCGACCTCAAGGGTGATCGTCTTTCCGGTGAGAGTCTTGACGAAAATCTGCATACCACCACGAAGACGGAGAACCAAGTGGAGGGTAGATTCCTTCTGGATGTTGTAGTCGGAAAGAGTTCGGCCGTCCTCAAGTTGCTTGCCAGCGAAGATGAGTCGCTGTTGATCGGGAGGAATACCCTCCTTGTCTTGAATCTTGCTCTTCACATTATCAATGGTATCGGATGACTCGACTTCCAGAGTAATGGTCTTTCCAGTGAGGGTCTTGACGAAGATTTGCATACCACCACGGAGGCGGAGGACGAGATGAAGGGTAGATTCCTTCTGAATGTTGTAGTCGGCGAGGGTTCGGCCGTCCTCAAGTTGCTTGCCAGCAAAGATCAGGCGCTGCTGATCAGGAGGGATGCCCTCCTTGTCCTGGATCTTTGACTTGACATTGTCGATGGTATCGGATGACTCAACCTCGAGAGTGATAGTTTTGCCAGTGAGTGTCTTGACGACTATGAGAAATTGTTAGAAATAGATCATGTGGCGACGAGGTCGATGTAACTTACAAATTTGCATACCACCACGGAGGCGGAGAACAAGGTGAAGAGTAGACTCCTTCTGAATGTTGTAATCAGAGAGGGTGCGGCCGTCCTCAAGCTGTTTGCCGGCGAAAATCAAACGTTGCTGATCGGGGGGGATGCCCTCCTTGTCCTGAATCTTGGACTTGACGTTGTCGATAGTGTCGGAAGACTCAACCTCGAGAGTGATGGTCTTGCCGGTCAAGGTCTTGACGAAGATCTGCATGATGGCGGTGATCTGTCGCGGAAGTGATAGATGGTAATCGGATGAGAGAAGGTATTTGTTATCGCTGGTCTTGAGCGAAAGTAAAGTCTTGGGTGAGAGATGTTTTGGGAAGAAAAGAGGATGAAGTTAGAAAGAGGTGGGAGAGGTTTAAGTACTGAGGGGAAAGGCAAGTGTTTGTTTGATAATCAAGCGGGTGGAAGGCGCGAGGGGGCGCAGTGACCGGATTACGCCTGCCAGTGACGAACGGCACCGGCAAAGGTAGGCGTGGCAGACAACCCAGGAGCGCAGCTTCCGGGGGGATGATTCATGAGAGCGAATGACGGTAGCGACTAGGGAAGGCTCCAGAATCCGGCCAGGCTGCAGAGCGCCACAACAAGTCTTGAGTACTTCTTTTTATGTGATTAGGTAGTCTGTTATCAAGTACTCGAGACCTGTCACTTATCATGCTGAAGTGGGTCCAAAGTTCGCCAAAGGCTGAAAGTCAGACTGATGTCAGGAGCGGTGTTATGTCTATCTGTTCATTCATAGGTGCTCTAGTAACTTCGAGTAGGATCTGGAAGCACTTAGAAAAATAAAAGCAAACCGTGGCCTCAAATCAGTCCAAGTCTTTACGCAACGTGCCTGCAACAATCAACGACCACTAACTAACGTGCCGAAGTGTGTCTGTCATGGACCTTCGCAGTCACTTATCCATTACCGTCTCTTTCAACAACTCACCGTGATTCACCACACATCAGCAGATACCCACGGTCTAGCGCTAGAATGCACGAGAGCGGAGTGGCGGAGCCTGGAGCGGGCATGTCGCCACTTTACCCCGGGAAAGACCAAAAAGCAATTCTTGTTTGGATGCCTCGAGCAAACGCAATTCGACCATCAGAAATTTGTTAAAAAGCTGGCTAATTATTCAAGCGTTTCCTGGGAGATCGTAGGCGATCATTCCCTAAAGCTCCAGTGACCAAGCCTTTGGCTCAGGAACCGATGGCAAACGCTCTGGATCAACACGCCGAGATAACTCAAAGTGGATTTTAGGATATACGGAGTAGGTCTAGCACCACCTCCAAAGACGGGACAAACTTGATGTACCTGGACGGACACCTCTCTGGCGTCAAGAGCCCAACAATCGATTCACTTGCAGTCTGCAATGCCGAGCTTTTCGCAGCAGAAATCTCGACGACACTCAACTCTCAGCCCAAGTTCCAGATCAAATGTTGCGGGGGTCACCGACTTCTGCCGCCCGCTGAATCCGGTCTTGTCGGTGCTCGCGACGTCATCAGCCAACAATTCTGGCCCGTGAGCACCCTGTCTCCAACCCAGTTCGCATCAACTTGTTGAATAACGAGGCTGGTAACGTTTCGAATGTTTATCAATGACAATGCCTTGAATTTGAGGGCACTGGTTTCCAGCCATGGTCATATTGAAGTCGCTTTCATCTACAAACAATCGCCTTACTATTTTGATTCGTTATTAAAGCTAACAATGACTTTATCTCAAACAATGCTTGCCTAGCATGGTGTCTTATCATCATGACCCCGCCTTTGTGGCGTTGGCAACGAACCTCGTGAACCACCCAGACCCGATTCGCAATACCCTGAGGGTGTCTAATGCTATCGGTCCGCTCCAACAGCCATGGTGTTTCAGTTAATGCCATGGCTGACTGTATTTTTCGCTTTCCCATCCAGCCGTTGCAAATATGCGCCTTGATTAGGAAATCTCCTAGTGTCGAGTGAAACATTGTCTCAAATGCTTCTGAGCTTGGAACTTCAAATGATTCAGGCGGAATATTACAGGAATGGAGTGGCCGCGAACATTAGTTATTATATGGCCGTTTAGAGATGTCATGATCATTCACTGTTCCCGTTCAGACTCAAGTTTCAAGGGTTTAAAAATTCCATTCGATATACTTGTGGCAGCTCTGTAGCAATTGCCAAGCATAGAGCCTTTTTTGTAACTATCCCAATATCCCTTTAACAAACTGCTAAATAAAAACACGATTCGCTCTGCTCTTCGTCGTCGACTTCGCACCCTGCTTGTCGCGAGTCCAGCCCACTTGAGCTCACCAACGCCCTCCAAAGATACTGTAAATCACACACCTCCCATATAGGCTCATCAGCCATGCGAAATCAATCATTCCTCAAAATGCCACATCGTCAAACATGATCCCGTAATAACACCACAAAATGGGTGAGGTTCGCTATCATCTGTATGGTACAGTCGTTCTTCTCTGTCTCCAAGACTTTAAAACAATAAACAAAAAATATGATAAAAAGAACTAAAACGCTCTGTCTTCTTCAGTCATACAATCATAGAAGAAAGTCATAAGAAGGTCATAACACATTTTTCCCGTGTCAGGTAGCTTCGTGTTGTCGGGCGGTGACCAGCCGTGATAGAATGTTAGAGTCATGTTCGTATGCTCAAAAAGGACAAATCTGGGGTCGCTGTTGACCAAGATTGAAAAGGCCTTGTCAACGCTTTCGCTGTGGTAAAACAAATGCAACAAAGGAAAGAGGAGGCCTAGAGGGCCCTATCATATGTTTTGACAGTGTCATAGCATCGTGACTTGAGTAGTAGCATCTTAGTTGGCCCGGATAACAAGCTTAGAGAGGAACTTGTTGGACAGGGAGTCGAAGTCGTAGCGGTCAAACTTGGACTCCTTGCGGGTACGAAGATAAGCCTCTGTGATGGCCGTTAGTGAATGATATAAGAACAGTACTGTCAAGATCTACATACCGTGCTTAATAACATGTTGTCTCACTTCAGTCATGGCCTCGCAGACCGAGGTGTTGTTGTGGAGGAGGTGGCCATGCTTGCGTGTGTCCCAGTCGGTGAAGGAAGGGAGCTTCTGGGAGATGGCGTGGAAAAGACCCACAATAACACCAACAGGTGTTGTCTCCATATCAGTGCAGAACTTGTTGACGGCAACAGGGTCAGGGACTCGGTAGTGGCAGTCGAACTGCATCTCCTCCCATACGGCAAGGAGGATGGAGGCAATCATGAAGATGGTAGGCCAGTTCTTCATCTTCTCACCACTGTAAACACCAGAGTACAGGGCAGAGAGCTCCTCGAGGATATCCTTCTGCAACTCACGCCACATGTCGGCAAGGGCACACTTGATCTGGAAGTTGATCATGACGGGGGCGACGGTACGACCGTAGTACTTGGAGTCCTCATCGTCGATCTGACCGTCAAGGTCAACCTCGGATCCCTGGTTCTCAACCATGGTGATGTGCATGGTGAGGTTGTAGGCAAGGACCAGCTTAAGCGACTTTCGGATAACAGGCATCTTCTCCTTGACATAGTAGCGGTGAGCGGTCTTAAGGATCTCAGTGATGAAAGGGGTACCCTCGAAATGGTCGTCAATGAAGTCTTCGAAAGGACCATCAATGTGCTTGTCAAGATACTCAGAGAGTGCATCAAGACGAATACCCTCAGCACCGACATCAAGCTTCTCAGTGCGGGTCTCGAAGTCAATGGGCTCCTGGTCAGTGAGTGTGGACTCAACCCAGTCAACCGAGAAGCAGCTGTCATCGGCAACAAAGACCTCGCGAACCATAACGGGGAGCGCAAACCCGTAGCCGTGGGTGATCCACATAAGGGTCTCCTTCTGGGCAAAACCCTTGACGTTGTAGACCGAGACACCACGGTCCATGTGTCGCTCGTAGTCGGCCTTCCAGTCCTTCATGAAGTAACCAATATCCTTGATGTCGATACGAGTGCAAGGAACCTGCCAGAGACGGGCATGAGAAGGCTGGCAACCAGCACAGGGCTCACCCTTATCGCAGGTCTTCTTGAGGAATTTGCATCGGAGACAAGCTCGCAATTTTCTGATCTCACTAGCCTGTTTTCTTTGCTCAGGTAGAAGAGGTCCCTTTCTGCGGCCAACCTTCTTCTCAACAGTGCCGTCCTTCTTGCCATTGGAAATACGTCGAACAACGTTCTTAGTAGTGCTCTTAGTAATGGGGCTCTTACGAGGACCCGAGTTTCGGCGGGTAGTGCTGCTAGAAGATGGGGAGACAGATCCGGCACCGCTGCCAGGGCTGTGACGGCTCGAAGAGGGTTCAGACTTGATGGGGACAGTGGCGGCAGCGACAGTGGTGGTAGCGACAGGCTCATGGCTATGTGTATGGGTGTGAGCGTGGTTGTGGTTGTGGCCGTCGTTGCTGAAGCAGTTGCGGTGGTTGCCAGCATCGACATAACCGTCAGACTCGGGAGAGAAAGGAGAGTAAGGGAAAGGCGCAATCTCCTCAAAGCTTCCAAACTCCATGGAATTGGCGCCATCGGATGAATCGGAATTGGTTCTCAGGTGAAGAGTCTGGGAAGGGTTGAAGATAGCAGCGCCCTGCGCGTGAGCTTGTTGGAACTGATCGAAGTTGGACTGATTCCAATCCACCATGGCCCAGCCCTCGCCCGAGGATGAGGGGAGAGACAAAACCTCGAGGTATGTACCGGTAGGCGAGTTGCTTCCAACGCTATCAAGACGAGGCAATCCATCCATCTGCAGAGTATTTTGGAATTCCTGCCAGTTCTCCATTCCGGTGTTGGGCCATACGGGTTGTGTGTGGTCGTCCATTGGCAGGCCGTTGAATGTTGATTCGAGGAGATTGGCCTGAAGAGCAGCCTGTGTAGTCGCAGGAAGATAATCAAGAGGGTTGGTCGGCTGGAAGTTTGCAGGGAAGGCATTGAAGCTCATGAGGGCAGCATCTTGGATGAACTGTGTCATATCAGCAGCAGCGAGGTGCTGCTGTTGTTGCTGCTGTTGCTGAAGGGCCCAATCCGTTAGGGGGTTCACACTTGGCTGGAAAGGCGATTGTTGTAGCGGCGAGTGCTGGCTATGAGGACTGGCGGATTGAGATGGAGGAGAGGACTGGTGCTCCTCCGGGCTCATCGAGGCATAGCCGTGAGAGTTGTTGGAAGACATATCGAGGGGAACAGCCCAGTGTCGGGCGTCCTGGGGCATGATGTTTGAAGCAGCCGAAGGACTCGAATGGGTCGTGGCTGTCGAGTACGTTTGGTAAGCAGCGCGATTTCGAGTATCGAAGGTCGTCAAGTCGAGATAGGCATCACCCCCGCCGTTGTTGAAGTCGTAAGTCATTCTGGGCAAAAAACAGAAGGGAAGCGGAGTAGGAAAAGGCGGATGATCGATAATATTGTAGGAACTGAGCGGACGACACCGCTCTTTCGTGAAGTCCCTTGTTGAGGTGAAGGGAGGAGGTCTGAGGTTTTGGAGCAGCTGGAGAAGGAGAGGGACTGCTGGAGAAGGCGCAACGGCGGGTAGATCATGGGTTAGTCTCGCTGCTGTGGGCGGTTTGTC